GGTCAATGTGTATTATAATGAAAATCTAATACATGCCTGTTTAGTTAGAGTTGTTTTTAATTTAGCTTGGTTCATCACAGTAACCACGATACGATAATCATGATCATGCGTACCAGTATTTTTATTGTTTAAGATGCCTTCTCCGGGTGTAGCAGTCGTAGGTTGTTTTATTTGAAAATGGCGATTATAACATGTGCTAGTAGGAATGCAATAACAATTGGCTCCTCTGGCATTATTAGAATATTTACTTTGGCACTCTTTAATGTTCTGAAAGATAAAATCAATACAGAGTAAACAATAGTAGTCAAATGGCTCATGCGTGAGGACTTGTCTCCCCTGTTGCATTGTGAAGACCCAATCCTCTCCCTTTAATTAATATCCAAGTATTTTTAAATACAAAATATCGTGTACTCATTTTTGTTAGAAGAATAAAGAATTTAATAAGCACTTCACGGGAAGATATTCACACAGTTTCCCTATTGGTATATAAAACCTTCCTTTCATTGTCGTATACTTACCGTTGTTTCGCCTTGTGGTGGAATACGCTGAGATCCATGTTCTACTTCCGTTAAATGATCCAATATCTTCCATTGTACTGTTTCTATTCCACTATGATCATCATAGGCTACCCATTCTATGCTGTAAATTATATAACAAGATATCATTCAGTATATACTGTCACTATTACCTATCCTATAAGGTAACTACTATATCATATAATATCAATACATGTGTGTTAATATTTAATATGTTCACAACATAATTCCATCTTTCCTGTCGATAATTCAACCATTCAGTACTATCAACCAAGCTATCTATAACATAATGTTAATCATTCTGATTTGCTCATTATGGCGTCAACGTCAAACAGAAACTGGTCAGATAAACTGAACGAAAATTCTAAATGAAAAGGAAGTAACCTACATAACTCAATTCAAGTTTAGATTAATTTCCATTCTCTTATTGGTAGTTTACAAGTTAAAGGGACTATACCGACTTAAACAGAGTCTCAAAAATAAAAATCCGAGTTCGTATGAAATTTAAGGGCCAAAATATAGAGGAAAGGTGTATTTACCTTGTCTCAAAATTTTCAGCTCAAAATATTGAGTTGTTTGGACGCGAACGTCAAAAATGCTTATCCGGGCACGTAACCCTTTTAAGATTGCTGGTCAATTATTTCGTTGGGTGGCCTGATAATCTATCGCCGTTCCTTTAGAGGTCTATACAGTGAATGGCCCATGTGCCGTACTGGATAACGAAAGGTAAATTTCACCTACACATTGTTTTTATAAAATAAAAGTCTCATTTTATCCAGACACCACATAATACAGCTTGGGACACCGGTCTCCGTTTCCAGATGACGGGTGTGAGTTGTTTGAAAACATATCACAAATATAGAATTAGTTGCTCGGCCCTTAGGTACGGGATTTTGAGGGGTTTTAACACAAAATTAAGCAGTTTTATTCTCCAAAATATTATCGGGATTGGCCCTTTAACATATGCGACATACGTTGAAGATATCGTTAATATCAGGATGATTGTTCCAGTATTCAAATACTTACACCATTTTATCAAGTTCCTCAAAACCATGAACTGCTAGATTAACCTCATCACCTTTTGTTAACCATAGATTTTCAATAACAGGTGGTGAACTATCAAAATGGACGGTCAACGATTCTTCCTTGTATTGCGATAAAATATCGTAAGCTCTGATAAAATATCGTAAAGTATCGCCATCTTTCAGAACTGGTGTTATTGTCTCTTGTTGATCAAGTCCTAGATCTACGAATTCATTTTGAGAAGGCTGGTTAATCGAACTTCCTCCAGCGTGGTCCACTTTATATATGGTTTTAATACCAACAATTCCTACAACATAAATGGATACTATAATCAAATGTCAAAGAAAAGATCACATCACTCTGTTAATAGAAATTGAACAATCTTTTTTTAAGCGAGTGTAATAGTAGGTCTAAACTATTTCATTTTCCTTGCTTTAAAATTTATTGGAATGGTAGAAACGTTTCAGAGTCTACAACCATATCCCATAATTAAGCCACGGTTACCTTGTACATTGCTAATTGCCTGAGTTGTTCTAGACCCATAATTATCATCATATTGAGACTCTACACCAGGTTCTGATCTAACTGCTGCTAGAAAACGACCATTATGATGTATAGTGTTGATATATCTATTAGTCCAACTGATTGTAACAGAATTTAAATTAGTCTGCCATTTGTAATTGGTAGTAGAAAGAGCAGTAGTCACTCTAAGCACACTCCCGGACGTCGTTGTTACAGCAGATGTATCATCAAATATAACCAATCGTCTAGCCTTCTTATAATTTCCAGCTTTGTCATAGGCTGATAAAATCATGGAATACACGGCGGGATCGGGGAATGTAACAACAGCACTTTTCTGAAAAAAGGGAAAAGTTTATGTTTCACACTAACAAGTATATTATTAATGTAAAAATATACCTTTATCTTCATCTTCCCGTACTGCATATTTAAATTTACACTTCATTTTGTAGTCGTATTTACTATCATTTTAATTATTTCTTGTTTTTGTGTTGTAGTCGTTTTTAGGTTTTATCTGACATTGTCAACAATTTCATTTATTTGCTTTCATTGGACTTATTGGATTTTCTGCCACAAACGTTTATTTTCCTATTTTTATAAATGAAATGGGGTTTAACGTCCTACTGTTCTGCTCCTACTGGGCTAATGAAGACGGTTCCTTTTTATACATAATGTTGGTGACATGGATGAACTTAAGTCTACTTTATTGGATACCGGAAGCATTATTTTGTAAATATTGTATATGATACTTACTGACGTAGTTCTCGAGTCCGACGTCCTCGCCTTGACACCAAGTTCATTACCAACACGATGAAGTTCAAACAGTTCATACTCGTATTCATTAATCCCAGCATCTGTATCCATCCAACCGTCCCATGAAAAACGTTGAGTACGCTAGACAATAAATAATTTATGATTAGATAGAATTAGTGGGCGTAGACTTTATTCTCACGTCATCCCAGTTGATATTTTATAGCCGCGAACGGTATTTGAATAAAACAAATAGCTGTGCAAGGTATTGGAATAAAAGAAGTAGAACTATACTGGTCTGATTCCCAAGAGTCTAAATGGATTTTCATAAATAACAACGTCAGTGACGGAGAATTACTTAAGAAGCACTGGGCTGGAGTGGATGGGGGATATAAAGCTGCAAATGTTCCACTTAATCGTTTGAATCGGGTTATTCCGTACCACTTACTCTAACGGGGTCATTTGAAAAGATAATATGTGGATGAAGTAGGCCTAGTCTCTACGCTACCCTCTAGATCAATTCTATGATTCCCAGCCCCCCCCCCCGGCACTTCCGCCCCAGCAATTCGCATACTCTTAAAATGCCCTGTCGAATATCAACGCCAGAAAGCATGACTAAATGTCCAAAGGCCATGTTCATTGGTGTTACAATGAAATGAATTTACACGGAATGGATTGCGATATACAATATCATATCGTTTATAATAATATTTGGTCTAGAGATGTACCTGTTTAGATAAGTCTACATCAGAGAGCATATCTAGAGAACATCCTGACTGGGGCTTACAATGATATGGATCTACACTGTCAAATGTTATAGAAAATGTATTGGTTTGAGTCAATCCTTGTAGATATCTAGTTTCCACCAATGTTGTTTCTTTATTTTCAATCTTAACAAATCCACCATTGGCAACAGACATCGAAAACGAGAGTCTAAAATGTAAATTATGGTAAACTGTAAGAATATCAATTATTGGGTGTGATATCTGTATAAAGACGTCTGTCAACTATGTAAGCTCATCAGGGGGGTGGGGGTGGGGGTGGTCGAATGGTTAGCACGTGCGTGCTGTATCATAAGGCCTGTCATTAAGACAACTGGCGTGGTTTCGAATACTCGGTTGAACGAGACAGGGAGTAGGGTCGCCTGTCCAACCTCGTGGGTTTTCTCCGGGTCTTCCGGTTTCCTCCCACTGCTAAAGACCCCTACGTGCAAGCGAATTATTGAAATAAAATAAAACCATATGTTAGTCCCGAAATAACCTTGTTTGTGTCGAGTGGACGTTAAACCCCATTTCTCTCTCTGTAAATTCATCAACCTTCCTTGAATTTAAAAAGGGACATAACTGTGCGAATAACAGTAACAAATTATTGACAGCTGTTGTTGTCCGGACAGCTACATCTGAATATTGTATGTAAATCTTAAACAGAGAAGACAATAACTTTATCCTCTGTTGCATTCACCAGATTCAACAAAGTGAAATATGTCTGTCAGTTATTATTAATCATAATTATTTCAAGTCTATATGCAGTTACATAGAAACAGTTTCGCTCTTGAGGCAGTATGTCTTGGTACTTGAATTAAGACTTCAAGAGATTAAGGCAGATAATCGGGCTTTTATTGTATTCTTGAATATCCGCGAGCATAATAATTATTATTATTAAGTCAAAAAGACCAAAGAAACATTTTTATTCTCCCGACCATATGTTTGTGATATGTAATGAAATGGAATGGGGTTTAACGTCCTACTCTAAAATCATGTAATTATATTTACGAAAACTTACACATCCTTGTGATTAAATGGTAGAGATAACTGAGATAAATCTGTTAATGTCTGGTCACAGGTAAACACACCCTGATTAGGATTACTTCTACTCTGTGGTCCGCCACAAGAATGGTAAAGAATATTATTGACATCTGAAATAGAACAACGTATTCCAAGAACAAATGAAGCAATCTGAGACTGGCATCAAGCAAAACGGTGTGCTGTTAACAAATGAATTACTAAATAATATGGTCCATAGGACATTGCGTCATAGGGATAAGAAAATTAATGCTAATGGAAACAAAACGAATGAGAAATTACAGTTTTGTGTTGGATTAAAACAGTAGCGAGAGATGTATTTATTAGTAATTATTACAAAGACCTTTACCTCTTTCCAGACGTAAACTCGCACTAATAATGCCAACTTTAAAATCCTTGACATACACCTGTCGAGAAGGCACAACTGGGTGGTAATCTGCAGTAAATCTAAAGTGAATATTAACAGGATTAACCATATTAGTCCATACAGTATCTTGAACTGGTCCAGTATTTGTATTTCCTGGTGCATCAGTTTTACCGCCATTGTTGGCTGTCAGACTTAGTATATTCTCTTTTATAGACGGCCTATTGGTTACTAAAAGAAAACAAACCCCAATAAATTGTCTAGTAACTGATTTACGTTTACGGTACTAAATAATATACAATGCAAATTTGTGACTTACTGCTAATGTGACTACTAATCTACCTAGTGAAGGGGTCACTTTGGCTGTTAGCGTGAATATAATTACTTATCACAATATGAAATGCTGCATGATAATTAAACTCAATCAGTGGTGAAGAGAATAAACTACTTTTGCAGCTTACTAACACGCTATTTTAATTAGTTACTAATGTATAATGTGTTATAAGGACAATTACATAACCCAGCTTAGAATAGGGGAGCAGGTCCACACTATGACATTTTTTTTCTAAAACCAATTCTGAAAAAAAAACCCTATTACCTGCTTGAATGATTATATGGCACTAATATTTCTGTTCAATTTAAAAGAAAATGGCGACACTTACTTTTATCGCATTTTGATCCCGTAAATTCTGACGTACATATACAATCTGATGCCAGTTCATTAGCACAGCTTCCGGGATAACATGGAGTACTATCAGATCGCCAGGAACACGCCTCTGTAATAATACAAATAAAATTATTCAATTACTAGGCCTCTGCCAAATATAACGACAAATACAAAGGTCAAAGTAAAGTTAGTCAACTATGTGAACTTTTCAATTAAGAAGAAGTGATACCATTATGTTCTGGAACGGGTAAGTATGCTCTGTATAAGCACGACATCTATCAATACATAGTTTGGAACAATGGTTTGGGCCAGGATTTCATAAGCCGGGGCCACTTGGTAGAAGATAACTTTTGCACCACATGCCGTCATCAGAGAATTTCGATTTCTTTATTTCAACTTTCTGGTCGAATTTAAGTTGGCCACAAATTATATAATATTGATACCTATGAATTAAATACTAACTTGTACAACGTTTTTTATCACTGGAAACAACATAAGCTCTAAAGCCAGGTTTTTCATCTCGTACTCCTTCACATCTAGAACACCTCTGGTTTGATGATGATGTACACGTTTCCAGATCACAATTTGTAATAGCTGAGCACACTATAAAATTTTAATAAAGAGAAGTTACTAAATCATACTACACTATCAACGACAAACGTTAATAATTATTAAATGCCCGATTACTATTGAATGTGGATCACGGTTCACAATATCTTTCAGCGTAGCTTACTCTTTACTTTTCATGCAATCTGTTGTGACTGTTTGAGGTGTAAATATTAATATTTGAATATTGATAAACGACATTCTGCCCATTCTAGAATACATTTTGTTCGTTGATCAGAACAAAGTAACATATCGTTGAGCTTCGTTACGCTTATTGAAGGTGATCTCTAAGCTTTCCTAGCTTGTTTATTTCTAAGATAATACCAACTGTATTTACCATTAATAAACCCCACAAAATCACAATAAATGATACACTGTACATAAGAAAAAAACACCCAACATTATGAATACATACTCTCACATGTGGGGCCAGCCGAATAGAAACCATCTTTTGAACAGCTACATTGTTCAGGATTTGGACATGTACCATATATATATCTTTGAATACTACCATCACTATATTTTATATGGGAGTTGGGGAAATAGTTATCACAAGCTGATGGGTCAATCTTGTTATCACATATAGCTAAAATATAAAATAAACTCCGTTTAATGTGTAATAGACCAAAATAATTACTGGTCTTACTCCTATACATGCCATTTCATGGTCTATGATATTTCGACCACATGTTAATCTCGATTGGCTTTTCTCAGAAACGTCATCATAATGTATATGCTGTGAAGTTTTTTTTTTTGTTTTTTTTTAAAACAACATTTCTAGTCAGGATAACTGAATTTGATTGGGGAACAGACTTAGCCTATATAAAACCTCTCCCCTAGACGTTTTGTTCGTGGATAAAGTTCACTATTACGTGTCTTTTCTTCCCCTGGACTTCCCACCTCTAAATCATGGATATTCAGAAAAGAGAGAATAAGTATATATTCTTCTATCATCAATTAAAAGACAACCAAATCTAAAATATCAAATAAAAAAAAACTCTTCTTACCAAAGTAATCATAATTTTCCCGGATTAAGTTATAAAAAAAGTCAAAATTCAAATAAATTGTTAAAAATAAAATACAATTTAAAAAATAAAATACAATTTAAAAACAAATCTTCAAATTAAATCATAACGCGTCTCCAAATTTCAATAATTTAAACAAAAAATAAACAATGTAAAGATACATTCTCAGAAAAGTATTTATGGGGTGGATATTGCCAATAGATGGTTACTTTAAAAAAGGACAAAAATATAAGAGAAAGCGTGTGGAAGGGCGAGTAGGATCGATACGCGGCCGCCCAACTATTAAATCTGAACGTTGTGAAAGCGACACACACTTTTCAGTCCCGCCCCCCAATACCAAATTAAAATTTCATCATGAGATTTCTAAGTTCAATACACACTATCCCAAAGATGGACGAGGAGAGACACGCCCAAAATGTGAAATCGATATGTTCGCCTTTACTAAGGACTGAATGAAATGTTATTTAACGTAATCCTTTCTATACTGACTGACTGAGCTAATTAAGACGGTTGTTCCTTTTTATGAGCAAGCACATCTCTACTACTGACAGGTAATAGGCCTAATATAGAATATATTTACCATGATCACACGCCAAATCGGAACCAACCGATCTCCACCCAGTGCAACAAAAACTTCTAGTCCTGTATTTTGTTCTAGAAAATAAATATTTCACCATTTTCATGTTGGACACAGGTGGAAGTCTGGGCCAGATCTGACCAATAAATTGCCAGGGCCTGCTTCAAAACGACGCAGAATGTCAATCACGGTACGTCAGGAATCTAACACGTTTCTGACCCGCAGTCAAAAGCTTTGGCACCTATCTTGCTATGAGTCTATAGCTATTCCTAACTCGTTGGCGATAATGTTTATGACCTTTTAGGACGCGGGTCATCGTCAAGCATCTCACTGTCATGCTTAAATTCCACATCCCACTTCTTTACTGTGGAAAATGAAAGGCGGTCAAACCCTAAAATGGAGACCATTTCGCCATCCTATCTGTGTTGGGGTTAGTCCTTTCAGTTGCAGGTACTTGTTGATTGTCCTATAGCCAGTTTGTCCGTTTCTGGTGATTTCAATGGGTAGGTTCACAAGACGGTCTGGTATGGAAACAATAATAACACTACAGTTGCAGTTATGATTTATGACACACGGGATTTGCATATACTTTTTGTGGGACATATGAAACCCAACTGCCACATTTCTGGCCTTGGCAAATAACAGTTGTAGTAGAAAGGAACAAGCAATACTGGCTATTTCCTGAATGATAACTATTTCTAGTACAATCTGTTTGGTACAGTAAATTAAGCTAAAACACAACCCACAATATCTTACCTATATCTTGTGCATCCACTCCAACCAAAAAATCCACAGTTTGTAGTGTAACTCTCTTGGTAAGATTCTTGTGCTGTACAAACATGGCTACTGTAAATCAAATATAGAAACGATCTAGATTTCACCTTTTTGTAATACATATGATTTTATTCCCAGGTTATCGACCCAAAACCTGTAAACACACATGCCGAACCTGCTATGGCCTATATAGACTTTCAAGTAGTACATTAATTGATATTGTTAATTATTTGTTCCATTTTGAAGTGTTTATAGACCATATATGTATACTTGCTGTTTAAATAAATAGCAATATATAGGCAGTAGCGAAATCGGTTAAAGTTCCCCATTTAGATAAGGTTACTAAGCCCATTTAAAAAAGACCTGGTAAAATGGAATGTTGGGCTACATGTTTTAGGGAAAAACTTGCTGTAATAAAATACGAGAACTGTCGGTATGAAAGTACCACGCGTGATGGATAATGATGTGTAAATATTATTAATAGAATCTGATATACAGTACCACGTTTGAGGGTATACTACAATATACGGCTAATGATACCGCAAACCCAGGTGCATAAGCGCACTTTTGGGTTATCATATTTTTCAGGCAGACAGTTAAATTTGAAAAAAGAAAAGTTAAATATTTTGGAAGAAATGTTTTTTAATAAAATAAAGGGCCCTATATCCGATTAAGTATACTTAAACATTTTCATTTTCTTTTCATTAATCACGGCGAATTTGTACTTCATTGCTTATAGATTAAAACATTTTGCCGGGTGCGACTCGGCTGTGTGCGGCATTTTACGGACATCGATCTTTATTTGTTATATCAATTTTTCGGGAATCGTAATTTCTTTAAATTGACCAATGGATTAGTGTAATAGACAGGCTTTATTGGACCACTTTCAATTTGATGAACTGACGGGTTGGAATAGCAGGAAACGGGTTTGCGTCCGGCAAACGTATACCATTTTACGCATTCGGCGCTCGTATGCCACCGGATTTGCAGACCGCGGCTCCGTGCACTCTAAAGGGCCCTGTAATACTGATCGGTTATCCACTATTTGAATGAAGTCGTTTATAGCTTTATTTAACGTCCGCTTCCACCGAAGTGATATCGCCGAACGCGAACAGTGGCCGAATATTGGCAACAGTTCGCCTGAACGATTTTGATTATCTAATAAGAGCGCGATGTCAAAAGGCATGCATGATCAATTGTCAAATTGACAGTTCCAGCTGCGAATTTCCGCGCGTATTGCCGATTTCAGTTCGAACGATGATTCGCGCATCAAGTCGCAGTGGCCCTCCGGTTTCCTCCCACTGCTAAAGGCCCCTACGCGCAAGCGAATTATAGAAATAAAATTGAATCATGTGTTAGTCCCTAAATGACCTAGTTTGTGTCGAGTGGACGTTAAACCCCATTTCTCTCTCTCTCTCTCTCTCGCAGTGGTCAGCGTGGTCTCATTTGTGTTCGCGCTTAGTATAAATGGACCGTTAAAGCGAATTTTTTTATGTCCACCTCCAAAATATGGAATTCAGGTGATCATAGTATGGGATTTCGCTTGCAAAACTACACAAATAAAGCTACTGGTATATTGGACCATTTTCACGTTGCTGTACTCTGGGCCTGGAATAGCCATATTCCTGAAGCAATGGCCCGAGAAAGCTCTAATCAAACGGAACACTGCGAGGAGTATGGGAATAGCAGGAAAATGCGTTTGTGGCCGTCTCTTTTGCAAAGTTTTCTTGAGGTGACCCCATAGCCCCGACGATAAAAAGTAAAAACGTGGTAGAATAGAATATCTAGCTGAGGGGTTAAAATTCATTTCATTTCATTTCAATGCGTTTTACTATTAGTTCTGGATTAACTGGAACTGGAAACCTCGCCGGGATACTCCGAAAAACTCCAAAGGCCAAAATCGGATCTCGAAGAAGAGTAGGCGGAAACCTAATTTCATTTGTTTTTCGCTAGATATGGGGAACGAAAAAAATAAAAAATCCGTTCCAGTTTGTATCTAAATCGACAGGAAAGTACTCTAAATCTTATCTACAGCGACAAAATATTCTTTGGGAGGACGGCGAATCCCCGTGATTGGAGCCCTTCGGAACTAATCGCCTTCAGAGAACGTCCGTTAATCTGCCCTTGTTTACAAGGTCCATGGTGTATATAAATCATACCACTTTTTGACCCATCACACTGGGTTCCATTATACCATTTACCTTGTATTATAAGTGTGGCGCTTTCTTCTGTTTTTGGTCACGAAATGGTGTAGCGGATTGGTAGTGTGGGGAATTCTTCTGCAATTGTTGCTCAGGACCCACACCCCGGTAATTTCTCTGTCACCAGTGATCTATTGGCCGATCACAAGCTGTTTAAAGTAGAGCCTCTTCAGAGGAGAGGGCGGACTAGCTAAAAAGTAGTTGAGCTATGATCGGCTCTCTCTCTCTCTTCGAACAAACGGAACAAAACTGTATAAAACTATGAAGGTTTATTATGTATTATAACATATACACAGGTAACTTTTAATGGACTAGGAAAACTCTTTTATACTATTTATAAAGAGGCAAACTGCCCCAGTTCAAGCCGTTCTTTGATCTGTTCTGTTTCTGTGTAATAGCTTAAGCTATACTGTGTACTAACTCCAAGCAGTTAAAGGTTGCATCTATTCATTGAACGCCAGCGTCCAAAGTATGTGTTCATTAGATGCAGGATTCCAGAGGCTGTATCTGTTTATGAACTGCAAGCAGTTTAAAGTTTGTTCATTAGATGCAAGCATCTAAAGGCTGTGGGCTCAGAGAGCATTCCTCAAGAACTATAGGTGTAATTACTACAGCTTCGCTTCGACACTGAAGACGGATATCCCAGTGGGAACAACTGACCTGGGCTACTAGTGCGGGGTATCTGGTTCGCCTGGCGCATCTATTGTAAGAATTAATTCCTAATTCATGCAAAATTATAAACTATACACTCCTCAAGTAAACAAAGTATACGTTGTCAACAATATAAATTGAACATTATTTATCAGATGGACACAATGTGATTTACGATTAAGATGACATACAAAAGTATTATTTAGTTAGGTTTAATAAGTCTTAGGTTATGCATATAAATTATAGTTGCATGCTATATAAGGGAGATAATAATACTAAATAATATTAGACAATGTATTACGGTACATCTCCAACAAAATATACTCTTCACAAAAGTAGGGGATATTCAGAAACAATACAAAACTGCGGAAATGCACTGCTGTTTTTATTAGAGGTAACCAGTGTATGTTAATAACAGGCCAATTGCAATCAGACGGCCCCATTTCACTTGCAAAGAGATACACTGTCAAAAGTGAAAATGGACGTTTTTGATTTTTGTCTTAATAATGAGTAATTGCTCCACCAATCCTCAGACATTCAGCAATCTGCCGTGGCATGCTCCTAATAAACCGTCCAATCACGATTTGGGGCAGTCTGACCCACTCCTCTTGCAGTGCCGCGGCCAATTCTTGCAGTGTTGTCGGTTGAGGTTGGCATCGACGAACATGTCTCCCGATCAAATTAAACGTAACACACTAAAGCAAAGTTACCCTAAACAGTAAACCTTATACAAGAACCGATAGGAAAGCAAACATGGATAGGATAAACCAGCAAGCGGCAGTTTTCATCAACCCTTCCTTGAAGTATCGAATTTGATAATGAACCCCTCCCACATGTATGGCGTGTCGCATGTGCAGCTCAGTGGTTCTGTTGGGGCGATACGTTCTTCATCTGTGAAAATACTCTCAAAGCATGTCAAATGTCCATGACTATTTATCACATCACAACCTGCATAGGTATTTGCATTTCAATATCCCCTACTTTTTTTGAAGAGTATAGATTATAGGGATATAAACTCGCTAATAGTATGTTAAATAACAAGACATGGATTTTTATTAAATTATACATAATATATGGCAGATATCAATATTATTATAAAACTTAGAAAGAGTCTGTCAACATACTTACTATTCATACAGTTATCAAATATCCTTTCCCTCACATAAAACTACAGTGACATATATACTATTCAAAAAAAGTAGGGGATATTTGATTTTGGGGGCATAATACTAAAATATGCAAATGACTACGAAAAAAGTCACTATAGAACCTAACAGAAGAAACATTTCCAGTTACATGTGACGCCCAAACGCACCAATAGCTACCGCATGGAATGCAGGTGATGCTTGGGATCATCATGGGGGTCCAACCCAAGATTTGCACGACTCTGACTTTGAATGTTAAGGTCATTGTGGCATTGAATTCCAGGGTGGAAACATCAGTTTAATTGTTTTAGTGACCAGAAAACAAATTTTGATATGCGTCGGCTTACCTAAAATGAAAGGTTACGTGCCCTTGGCATGCTACAGATCGGCACAACACAGGCGGTTGTGGCGCGGACGATGAATGTTTCTCAGTCTGTCATAAGCAGGCTATGGTCCAGATACCGTGATACACAATCTGTACAGGACAGACCACGCTCAGGTCGACAACTCAAGCCCAGGATCGATTTATCCGTACCTTGGCCTTGAGAAATCGTGTCATCACAGCAAATCAGATCAGCGCTCGTCTTCAAACAGACACTGGTGTGAGAGTGAGTGGCCAGACGATTCGGAATCGACTGCATAGGGGTCACCTTCGCGTCCGACGTCCTCGCGTGATCCCTTGTTTGAGAGATCATCACATTCAGGCAAGACGTCGTTGGTGTAGGGATCGTCAACACTGGGATAATCGACGCTGGAGCAATGTGATGTTTTCAGATGAGTCAAGGTTCACTGTTGATTTTTTGGACAGACGTAGGAGGGTGTGGCGTCGTCGAAACAAGCGCTTCCAAGACGTTAACGTCATCAGACATGATCGATTTAGGGGTGGTTCTGATATGGTGTGGAGAGGCATCACTGTTGCTGGAAGAACGGCTTTACATGTTGTTGCAGGGCGTGTTACAGGCCAGTACTACCGGGACAACATCTTGGCAGTCCATGTTGTGCCGTTCGCACGACGTCATGGCCGCCGTTTCATCTTCCAGGATGACAACGCAAGATGTCACAGGGCCAGGATCGTTACAGGTTACCTCCAACAACAGAACATCACCACATTACCTTGGCCAGCACTGAGTCCCGACCTCTCCCCCATCGAGCATGTCTGGGACATGCTTGGACAGAGGTTACGTCAACGTCAACAACGTCCTGCCAATGTCCAAGAACTTGCTGCTGCGTTGCAACAGGAATGGGACAATCTGGACCAAAATGACCTTAGACGTCTCATTAGGAGTATGCCACGTCGGATCAATGCTTGTTTGGCAAACAGAGGAGGATTTACCCGTTACTGACTTGGTTGTGATGCTGTGGTAACTTTGCTGTTTGACCCCGGGTATCATTTTACCCTTATAATGGTCAGTCTGTGCCTTACTTAGTCTAACGATCATTTGGAATAAATCGATGAATGTGAACTTCATTTCATTTTGTCATTTGTTTCTTCGTCAGTTTCATTAGGTGACTTTAATAACACTTAAAAATCAAATATCCCCTACTTTTTTTGAATAGTATATCTAAATATAGCTGCTATAGTCTCGACTTTTTAGGCGTCTACAGACTATAAATAAAACAATACTAACAAAATGAAACTAGCTTTGCCACATAAAGTCCATGATTATACCACACTTTTACCCATTACACGTGTTACTGTTATTTCAGCCTCGGAGTGTCATATCTACCAAATAGTCCATTATACCAAGTATATGGGGCATAATAATAGACTTTTACACCGTTTTTAAATGATAATTATTAATCGATCGCGCTACACAACCAATATAATTTCTATTTATTTTAATATATAGTGTAAATAAATGAAATGAAATGAAATGGGGTTTAACGTCCTACTGTTCTGCTCCTATGCTGGGCTAATGAAGACGGGCATACGCCATACAGTGTGCTATGAGGGAAATTTTGCCCGGGCAGCGGCACTATTGCCTACTCTTATATCGAATTCTAACTGCCAAGGGATCTTTTACGTGCACTCCAATGTGACCTCGGTTTTTCGTCTCATCCGAAGGACTAGACAGCTGTCCTTGTCAGTCCCTCTGTCCTGCATCACTGACATGGGGAAAATCTGGATGAACTTTCTCGGCCAATGCAGGGATCGAACACCCGACCTTCAGGCTAGCGAGCCAGCGTCTTACCCACTTAGCCACTAGTGTAAATAAGGTCTAGAAACACCTCAAGATGATTTAATAATTAATATAATTTGTAACATCATATTTTTATAAAGTAAAATTATGATTAAAAAGTACGCGGTACCAAACTCGCGTACCCCGTTTCATTTGCATAAGCAATAAGAAAGAGCGTGGTAGTTATCTACCCTCTAACTTTCGGGCAAGCTCACTAATTGGGCAGACGGGATAAAGTGAATTTTTTTTTATTTCATCTACTTGCCAAAATAAAGTGCCCGAAATCTAATAAAACACTAATTTTATGGGCTGAAATGGCAGTAAAACGCGTTTGCGGCCGTCAAATATTCCAAAATTTTCTTGGGGGGTCCATACAAGGTCAGCTCCGCTTCTTCGCCTCTCGAAGAAAACCGGCGCCGCTGTCTGCAAATCTGAAATTTTTTCGGGCATTTCTAGTTATGCTTCCCTAACAGTCATCGAGCCCTAATAAAACACTAAATTTACTTTTCTTTTAATTGAATACCACGAATTTGTACTGAGTTGACTATGGATTAAAACATTTTGTCTGGAGCCACTCTACTTTGTGCGACACTCCTCGGGCATCGATTATTATTTGTGAATGCAGCTGCAACAGTCTGATTGGATGGTAGGAATTCAGAATGGGATTTCGGTTACAAAACCATTGGATACTTTTGGAGTTGCTTACACGGGCTAGAATAGCAGAAATTGCATTTTCGGTGGTTAAATTTTCAAAATTTTCCCCGGGAGGGTGAGGCCCCCATAACCCGTGACGATTGATTGGTTGTTTGGAATTCGGGTTAGCCAGGTAGGCTATATTTGGCCAAATTGAAATTGCTGTATTCACAGGCTGGAATAGCAGGAAAACGTGTTTGCGGCAGTTAAATTTTCAAAATTTTCTCCCAACGGTCCCGTCTCCGTGAACTGTATCTTAAATAGGCTATATTAGACCACTTTGAAGTTGCTTTTGTTCACGGGTTGAGATAGCAGGAAAACGTGTTTACAGCCGTCAAATATTCCAAAATTTTCTTATGGGGAGGGGGGCATACAAGGTAAGCTCCGCTTCTTCACCACTCGAGGAAGACCGGTGCCGCTGTCTGTAAACCCGATTTTTTTCGGGCATTTCGGGTTCTGCCCCCCCCCCCGTAACTGTCATCGAGCCCGTACGCCTATGTGTCTGCGACAATGTCGTTTCCATTGATTATATGTAAAAAGTACAATGTACAAAATCCTAATACCGATAAAGATAAAGTCAAAATACCTCTAAGGCAAAAGTTAAATTGTAAAACGTCAAATGTTAAGTGTTAAATGACAAATGTTTTGTGGGAAAATGCATTTTTTGACGTGTCTACATTTTACATTTCTCTCATTACATTTTACATTTGCGCTCTGCCACATCCCATTTGTCCTTCATGCTTTCTACATAGCATCTTTCGTACAAAATCAATTTCAATATCGTCTATTTTTAATTATAATTTCCAATCATAGGACATGAAATGAAATGAAATGAAATGGGGTTTAACGTCCTACGGTTCTGCTCCCACTGGGCTAATGTAGTTCAGCTGTGAACGTAGGGCTCATTACACTCCCTATAACCGCCCTATAGAATCCTTGTCGAAAAAAGTTTCAAACCCAAGTCAGTTTTACTGGGCAACTTTTTAATGCTAAAAGGTCGCGTGTCAGATTATGTGAACGCCTGCATAATGTAAAGGAACATTTTAGTGAGAAAATAAGCCCTTGCTCACTTTGGTTCATCGCGTAATACGCTGGGGTTATCGCACATTGTCTGTTTCGTGCAACGGGGTCATTACCTACAACTGGTCGACAATTGGATTTGGGATTAATACATATCAAACATTTTAACTCCGTAGTGTAATACTTTAGAATTATCACTTATAAAATAATTTAACGAAGTAAAAAATAAATCAGTACGATTTTATAAATATTCTGAAATAAAGTCATGATATACACTTACCTGGCCTGTATTTCATAAAAATAAAAACATAAAAGTGAACCAGCAATTAATCCCTTTATAACACTGGCCATATTCTGGTTCATTGTAGCCTTCAATTAATACATCCTACACCAATGAAGATAGATGTCGCGCTATGATATAACCCTCTCGTGTGTGACAGAATTCTCGAAAGAGTAAAGACCCGGATACTTCATCTGAATGGACTAACCGTAAAAAATTGTATTCAAATAAACTAAATGGGGAATATAATATGTTTTTATAAATATTCTTAATGCCTTTTTAAGGGTTTGGTAATTTGTTATATTAATGTCTGTGTGACCATAATAATATGTATAATGATAATGTATAATGCGCTGTATTTTGTTGTTGTGAATGTTTAGTCCATACCTGTAGATATCATTATGTTATAGTGACCGTGTTATAGCATGTTATAGGTCATGTAGTAATGCTACGTCAATTAATTTGTTCATTTTCATTTTAATTTAATTTAAGACGTTTTATTTCAATTCCTAGAGGCAAGGATTTCACAAAACATGCTATTACGATATTACAACTTTGTATCCACCCCTATTTTCAACAATGCCTTACCCTCAGTGCAAATCGCCTTTAATTAACCGAAAGAACATGCGATGATATATTCCATTCAACGTATATGGGCATGCAAGTTTCAAACCAATTACCGTAATACGACTTCTCTTTAAATTGTACTGAATAAACAATGGATTAAAAATATTTTCTGGAGCCAATTTGTTTCATCAATTCTTCCTCGAATCAAAACTTATGGAATTTGACTAATTGATAAAAATTTAAAACTTTTAAAACATTATGCTCGACATTTTATTTAGAACATTCCATACAGCAGTTATATTTTCTTGATGACGTAGTATAAACATACCACATTAAATATACAGTTCAAGACCAGAAACAACCACAATAAAATTATATATATATATATACACACATTGTATGTCCAAAACTTATTGTTATTGGCCAGTTAAATTCTGACCATTTAACGATTATACTGATTTATAATGATTTTACACACCTATCTTTGATAAATAGGCCGCCAGACGTGGTTCCAGAAGACGAACAGGAGTATCACTCCAGTGAAAATTTGTAGGTACATATGGAAGAGAAATGTAGATTTGTTTTTGGATGCAGTTAGATTAATGACAATTATTGACATATCGGCGAACAGGACAAATTGTAATTATAATCATCTTTAAATTTGGTAAAAAAAAATGTAGAGATCGGTAATCGTTACAAGATTAAATTTTTTTCCCGAAAGATTAAGAGATAATCGACTTGCATACTAATTTTAGTTTGATTTTTTGGCTTACTATGTCGACAGCTGTACACAAAATCAGAGCAAACAATGACGTTAACTGTAGAGCAAATCAGCACAAACAAATTAACCAATGAAATGTTTGAAACAAATAAAAGAGGAAAGGTTTCATTTTATTTTCAGTAGAAATGAAATGTTTTTTTTTAAGTCCCACATTTCTGCTCCGACTTTATTTTCAGTAAGAATCCAGCATAATAAGCTTAAATAATATAGACGAGGACCTTTGGGGCCGGCACGTGTATGCGGGTAACACCCACAGCAAACGCTCTATTTAACACGGTAAAATGAAAGAACAAGGAAGAAATTTCAAATAGGTCAGGAATGCAGTAATCTACGCCGTTTATAAAATATACTATCATTTGTATCCCATTTTTATTAATATATTATTAAAGAGGAAGAGATGTGAATGTAATAAATTTTGAATTATATACAATTACAAATACCTTTGACGTAGTGTATTATCGAAAATAATTGAAAACTGAAATCTGTAAACGACTTAAAAATGAATATACACAAAATGTGGGTATTTCAGCGATGGATTAGAAGCTTTGTAAATGAAAAATTATCTGAATAATAGTTCGTATTTTATAACATAGAAAATTTTATGAAAGTTATTGAGCACTATGTCACACTATGCACTTAAAAGATCCGCTGGAATACGATACTAGAGTAGGCCAGTCGGAGTAAAACAGTAGGACGTTAAACCCCCATTTCATTTTATTTCATTTCCTTTCACAGGAGGTGCACACCCCACTGGTAATATTTCGAGTGGACAATTGTCGATCAGCCATCACCATGTCATGCACCCGGGTAATAAATTCTTGAATGGCTGCTATTGATGTAGCCTTCCAGGACGCGGCTCATCGCCAAGACTCTCTCTGCCACGCTTAAATTGCGCAGCCCTCTTCAGGCTTAGAACTTTTCTGCCAGCCTACGTACTATTTATTATACATTGTGTGTAATTAAAGTATATAACCAGTAATACAACATTATTATTATGCATGTGTTTACTGGCCGACATTTTGCTGTTATATATATATATATATAGACCAGGAAGGTTATTGTATGCATGGAGTGTGAAGTGTGACAATAAATACATTATATGTTTTTCTATATAGGTATACACCACACAGTTAGAGCGTTACCCTGTGCATGTTGTGGAAATAAAATAATAACATTTTTGTCACTAAATAACATGTTCTGACAAATCTCAACGACAATACATTTGATGTATTTACTGGATGTTCGATGTGTAATAAGTAATGTAAGCTTCACCACTTGGTTCCATTTAACACAATATTAACTTTATATATGAAATCAATTTATATGGCAAGATTTTATGTTGTAGTGCAGCCAACACATTTTAGACTGTGTTCGATCTGGTGGATTTTGTAAATTTCTTAGAATTTTTTTTTTTTTAATCAGGTGCACTTTGCACACCATTTATTGAATCCGAAATACCATGTACAGAAAATACAGATTAAGATCAATCAGTGTAGGGGGTGTATCGATTGAAAGTTCGGTAACTGACTTCTCTAAATTCATTGAAAGGCGTCCAGCCTTCTACTATGAGAATTATTGAAGACAAAGCTATCGCGATTCTACATACCAAATCTGTTTTCAGGACGGGGAGAATTGTGTAAGGAATCAATTCCGTGCTACTCGACTGCAATTCCAACAATTCGGAATGTTCCCGAAGGGAAAATAATTGAGCCACCCACCCCTATCTTTGTAATAATGACACTGGCAGCATGACAATTTAAGCAAGGATATATCGGTTGGATTATAATTGAATTCTTACCCCTCAAATGACGAACCGTGACAGTGTGAACTCTTGTAATTAATTAGTGGTGTTGAATTGTGGAAATAACGCTGGTCCTTAAACATTCACGTCACCCCAAAACGTTTGATAATTCATATAAAAGAGGACCTATCGTAATATTCACTTGAACCGATCTATTCAAAATTTAGGATCCAAAGCGAAGAAATCCAAGGTAAGATAATTTCTGTGTATTTATTTATTACCAGTTAAAAGAAATGGCCTAAATTAATATAACACCACAGGATGAAGCTACCCAATACCTTAACACTTACCATGTTAACACTTTCTGAACACTTACTATGTTAACACTTTCTGAACACTTACTATGTTAACACTTTCTGAACACTTACTAATAAATGACATATTGATAATTTAAACGTGATATTATTGTTTAGGTGTCAGCACACAGCATTGATTGTTTTTTTAGTTTTCTTAAATTTAGTACAAATTTAGTTAACTACAGCAGTAATACTCGACAATATCCCATAAATGCAGATATTGGTTTCGTCATGCGTGTGTCATTAGGGATCTTTCTATCAATTCAAAATCGAAAACGTCATCGATTTGTGTGTACCGCACATGAGTGTTCGGCCAGTGAAGAACGTCGCGCGCGTGGAGCTGGATTTACGTAGGTATGCAAACGAAAATGTTTCTTGTCTCATATATTGAATTTCCAACAAATTTTCGATTTGCATATTGTTGATTATGTAGAGAGTGTTGAATGTGCTCAAATGCATTATTCTGCTTGATGTGTTGTGTATTTGACTGTACCGAGAAGTTGATGGAATAGAAACAATTGTTCCAAAGTTATGCTCTCTTAGCTTAAAACTTTGTGCGATAGAGGCTACAGTTTTTAACAAATGTCTTAAATTTGGTGTGTGGCATTGCGTTTCAGAGAGGACGAACACTATCGATATTCAGCGGTACGTAATTTCCGTTCCGTAGTTACCCCACTTTGCCGAAAATCTTTTTACAAAGAGGCCTTTGTTCTTAACATCTTGGGATTTTTTTCAAATTTAAGTTGAAGCATTGCGGCAATCAGGAATCCTCTGCACGCCTCTTGTAAAATGTGGACGTATCTGACATGGCAACCTATTGTTAAATTGTATAAATACAAATCCCTTGTTTAACAGTGATAAATTGAACGCGTAGTAGTTCGTTGGTTCGTGGGGCTTAGCGTCTGATTCCACCCAGGATGACATCGCAGACAATTCGCCACATTGATCAGTAGTGAATATTCGCCAGGCCGCTACAATCACTGATAAGGATGACACCGATGTGACTTAATGAGCCACAAATATTAACTTTTTTCCTCCGACAAATTAAATTCTATAACATTTTTTTTATGTATTAGAAAAATAAATAACGACGTTTGAAGTATTCGTAGGTAAAAATTACTTCCTATTTAGTGTCAATGGGTATTAAAATGAGTATAAGGCACCATTCTGCCCGAACCAGTAACGTCTTATGTAAACAATGCACTCGCCAGTGAGCAAATGATTGACGCCGCGTTATGAGACGTCACATGTTGAATGCAGTCATCTTTTACAGAGGTATTAGAAGACAATCGTAATCCTCTGTGAAACAGATTGACAATTCGCAATTCGCGTGGTCAAAATTTGGCAATCTTACGTTGGTTTCGTAAATCATGTGATTGTATCGTGTTGTGATGGACTCTTGTTAACTATACAAATAAAATAGTGTTTTAAACAGCTGCAATCTTAAACTCTGAATTTTTGTCTTGTAATATCATGATCTTGAGCTACCGACCCGTTGTAAAATGATATATTGTTTCCTTGAAGTCAGTTGATTATGCTATCCAATTAGACAAGGGATTAAAATGCTATTGTAGCCGCATTGGCAATTCATAGCGAATTGTATCTTCAAACACAAGACCCTTACATGCATTATGTAAAAGCTAAATCGTTGCCATCGGATGCCCATGATTTTAGCTAGAAGCTAAAACTCGAATGACCAGTACAGTAGTTACAATCGATGCATACAATCAATGCATCAAAACTACAACCATTGATAACTTTGCTAAAAATAAAGTAATTTTAATGAAATTTTTAATATACTCATTTTGCATTATCTATTTTTGAAATGCTATAGTGAAAATGGCTAGCTCTTTATCTAAATCTTACATAATGCCCCTTTAATTTGTTTGTTTATTGGGTGTGTTATGGGCGCCATCACACGCGAAATTAGTACTCATGAACAACAATTTTCTAGAAACATTTATAAATTCATTAAATATTATCTTTACATATCATTTCAATCCCGAGTTACATTTTGATAGGGACTGAGTTGTTGGTAAGTGTTGGGTTGTTGATCAATCGTTTGTTTATCCAGTACCTCATATGTTGATCTGGATGGTGTATCGAGTTGTTGGTAAGAGTTGGGTTGTTGATCAACAGTTTGTTTATCCAGTACTTCATACGGTGATGATGCTGTTTCTGTGTTGATATAACCAGGATTAGAAGGATATGTAGTATTGACAGCATCAGTACCAACTCTTTCATATATAGGTGGGGTTTCAGACAAGGTGATATTATCTGACCTGGTTTGTTGATTGTTAGCGTCATCAAATAATGTCGGATCATTTCCTGAAATCATCACAAAACATAACGTACTACGTCTTTTGGTCTAGTTTAGCTCGGCATCTAAACACGACGAATAATTGCATATAAGGAACATTGGAATTCAATATTTAACATTATTTAATGTGTATAATGTACCGTTTAGTATTTAACACCGGTAGTAAACTCATTGGTTTGGGAATTCAAACTCAACCAGTAAGGATATATATTCTGTAATATAGCGATGACCTCCCCTCCTTAACAATAACAACACGATTTTATGAATAGTGCGATTTATTATCTCAATGTAATTATTACCTGTTACTTTTTGAATGCAGATTCTCCTCCCAGTTTTCTTAAAGACGACCCACAGTAAAACTATGATAATAGCAATAATGAATAGGATGATGCCCAGACCAATAGCTATACCAATACCAAGCAGGTTATTGTTATTGTCATCATCGTTAGACAGTACAGCCATGTTAAATACAATAGATCTGGAACCAAGACTATTATTAACATAAACTATATATTTTCTACCATCATCAAATGTAACATCTTGTATAGTTAGTGTTGAGGAAAGACCATCATCTATTTGTTGACTTCTAAAATCTATAATCAATCTTTCACTGCCATCTTGTTGTTGATAATACCAGGTAAATACAGGTAGTGGATAAGCTAAAACATGGATGGATAATACACCTGTTTCTCCACGTGATACAGATATACTGGTCTTGGTATCTTTATTTGGGTCAAGAACGGGCCTGCCTGAAATACAACAAGCCAAATAATAATAAGGTAATTGTAAACAACTAGATGACTCTGAAGGAATAGAAGGTACAACAAGTACGATAGCTATATGGACCACTGGCATTTTGACGTCATATCAGGTCCGTTCAATGATGCGCGATTGTTCATGTACTATATGCCAAGTTTCATGTCGATCGTACAGAAGAACAACAAGAACAACAATTCTTGGGCTATTGCTACTCAGTCTAAACATTGTGATGTTTTTATTTTAAACCATTTTAAGGAATTACACGGTCTTGTAAACGTCTACAGAAATAACTATTAAATATTTCTTGTAAACGTCTACAGAAATAACTATTAAATATTTTGTGGTAGGCTTTTGGATTCGTATTTTTAGCATACGTAACAATAATACAAAAAGGAAAATACCCATACAACATGGATATACCGAGCGTATACAATGTACGTAAATCATGTACTCACATCTAACATATAATGGAATAGTTCTAGATACAGGTTTACTAATATCATTTCTAGCTGTACATGTATAGTTATCTGTATGTTGACAACTAACTTTAGGTATGGCATATTGTCTACCAAAAAAGAGTTGTCTCCCTTGTTGTGATCTAGACCAGGATATGTTTGAAGATGGAAAACTGTCAACAGCACAGGTGAAGGTAATGCCAGAATCATCGTCTATCATGTTGTTAGTAGCATCAGATATCAAACTTGAGATGCTTGGTGGATCTGATTTTTAAAAAGAAAAGTATGATTAATTTGACCTCTGCCATTATACCAATAACTGATCAAAATAATGTTCTATTGTATTACTTCTCTTTTATTGTACGCTGGAATTTAATTATGACACTTTGATTTAAAACTTGCATTGAACATATCTGTTGTTAATCATTAAGAAGAACAGTGACCAAATTAACTTACAGTGTACTATAACTGTCAGTTGCTTAGATAGAACTGAACTAGATATCTGTGTATGTGTAACCCGACAGGTGTAATTATAAGCTTGTTGTCTCTTGATGTTGTTCAGTGATAGAAGTTTAGTAGATGACATTTTAGTAGATCCTTTATACCAGCTGATATTACATGGCGGTGGATTACAGTCAGATGAACAGGTTACAGATCTACTTTCATTTTCTATCACTGTTATACTAGAACTGGTTGGTGTAAATCTAATATTCTCAGGTCCATCTGTTAGATTAAGGGGCATGGTATTATTTGATATGTAATATTATTTGTTCATGGAATTTTTAAAATAAAATAACTCAACAGACATGAATTTGGTAGACCAACCTATACAACCGTCAGAAGAAAAGTAAACCCTGAATGGTGGTGATGCAAATCTGATATTATCTGGCACATTTGTTAAGGTAATGAATTATATTTATTAAATGAGGAAAGGACAATGGTATCGAATAAAATCCGTTAGATTATTTAATTAAAGAAATCCCCCACAAACTGTTGTGGTAGTGCGTGGTTTATAATAAATTAGTATCTGTAGTGAATAGTTTATAATTAATACTTACAATGAAATGTTATCTGTAATACTTACAATACACTGTTATCTGTAATACTTTAGACAGTGTGTTGTTGGTGATATTATTATGTTGAACCTGACAGGTGTAATTACCAGCTTGTTGTCTATTGATGTTGTTTAATGAGAGAAGTTCAATAGATGATATAAAAGTAGATCCTTTATACCAGTTGACATTACATGGTGGTGGATTACAGTCAGCTGAACAGGTTACATATCTACTTTCATTTTCTTGCACTGTTATACTAGAACTAGTTGGTGTAAAACTGATATTCTCAGGTCCATCTTTATAAAATAAAGAAATTGACTTAAAGCCCCACATATCGAAAGAATCAATGGACTTTTAACGATTAAGCTAAGAATAACGAAAGACATGGTGCAACACGCATGAAGCATTTACCCTCTCATACCACAAAGAACGGATCCCCTGCCCAGCGACAATAACATTACCCGACCAACTTACAATAAACAAGAAGAGTAACATAATTACAATCCAATGGCAACCAATGATGACCCACTGATGAAAGGCCAAGGCACTTTCTCTCTAGTACCTTTGTACAAAGGTTGTAAGTGTACCAGAAATTAAACATGATTAGACTTTCCGATGATTTCGGGGATATCATTGAGAACTCCGTCCGATATTGAATTTTCTTGAAGCTAAACTATGTTTGGTTTCTGAATTGTTATTATTGTCTGTCTATATATATTTCCTTTACACATTTGTTACCGGTCTTCCATACGTAAGTGCGACTTACTATTTTCCTTAAAAGTATATTTAAAATTAAAGGTCTATAGCATATGATAAAAGCCAGCCAACTTACAGTAGACAAGAAGTGTAACGGGTAGACTGCTGCCACCATTTACATCTAAAGCTCCACAGATCCAGTCTCCAGCATCAGTTGATTGAACATTAGTTACATCAAGGTACAGAGTTTTGTTGTTACCACTGATGCAACCACATGTGTATCTGATATCAGATGATGATTGTAGACATCTTGATAATAATATTCTACAGAATGGGGTATCTTCTTTTTTAAACCAAACAGCTGTGGGTATATTGTCGCCAGATATTTGACATGTAAATCGGTAATCTTCTCCTCTAGTACCATATGATGCCGATCCTGATAAACTGTACGTCTGACCTTTAAACCAAGTGGGTAGTAAATAAGTATATAACGGTTGCCGGGCATCTTACCCAATCGTTACTCATTGGGTGTTTGGTGCAATGTCAAATTTAATGTTTTAGATGCCCAATCACAGGACTGTCATGAGTATTCTGTGATACGAGGATTCGCCACCAAGGCGTGGGGTACGTAACTAAATAAAGGATACGTGCAAGTATATATTAATCAGCGCATTAGAAACTTACCACTGATATGGGGAAACCACGCTGCAAAGTCACAGGGATCGAAACCCGAAACCTCCAGGTTAGCGATACCGCTCCCTAGTCACTGGGCCACCGTTGGTATTGTCAGATGACTTAACTAATTTTGAATATATCACTGAAATCAGTATTAACATACATGTAATATAAAGATCATTAGAAAACAAACAACTACTACTATACCTTGTGAATAATTAGTGTATATTGTCAATAATACAACTATAATATTATAATGTATGTGTTTACTGGCCGACATTTTGCTGTTATATATATAGACCAGGAAGGTTATTGTATGCATGAAGTGTAAAGTGTGACAATAAGCACAATATATGTTTTTCTATATAGGTATACACCACACAGTTAGAACGTTACCCTTTGCATATTGTGAAAATAAACTGATAACATTTAATATATAAACATATTATTATACTATTAGTACTAGATATATATCGCTACGAGGTTGTTACGCGAAATAAAATTGAGGCGAAGCCGAAACTTTTTTCACGTAACAACCGAGGGGTGAGAGGTTTATATCAGGCACCCAATCGAAGGGATATTAACAGCTAACACATCTTTGTCTTCAAACTGGATTAGCCATCTAGTTGTCAAGTTAAAATACGCGTGAGAGAGAGAGAGAGAGAGAGAGAGAGAGAGAGATTAGGAACTAACATATGGTTCAATTTTATTTCAATAATTCGAATGCGCGTAGGGGTCTTTAGCAGTGGGAGGAAATAGGAGAACCCGGAGAAACCCCACGAGGTTAGACAAGCAACCCTACCCCTTGTCACGTACAACCGGGGAATCGAAACACCGCCAGTCGACTCAATGACAGATCATCCAACCCCCTACGTCACATTGAACCTAAACTTATCTGTTTATTCTTCAGCATGCAGTCGATCGAGTATGATGGCGAATTGACACAGACAATTAATTCTTTGCTACATAATGAAGAATCGTCTGGTGAGAATAACACCAATTTCCAACCCAAACACATTAAATTAAACTGTCTGACCAAGAAACAACAATTATCAACGCCCCAAATTCCACAATGGAATATAATGATACTTACATATTGACTCTTTCTATACAGAATTTACATAGTTGTCCATATAAGGATGTTATAAAAAAATCGAAGTGCATTATCAGAATGATTTGCTGGTTTGTTCGCGCTATGAGCCTAAAATATAAAACACTTTCAGTGTTGCATAGACATGTTTAATTGCTCATAAACGTTAGTAAAACGGGTATCTTTGAATTAACTTCTGCCATGAGCTTTACTTTCATTGTAATATTAGTTTTAAAGATTGGAAAGTTTTCGTTTATCTAGTGTCCGATCCATCAGTAATATATATATATATTCAATGTGAATAAGATTTTATAAACTGGCGATCAACTGCTTTTATACGACCAAATTGTCATTGGGACATATTATGCCGTCGCCCCTGTCCGTCCGTTCACATTTGTTTGTGGACACTCGACAATTTTCATGAAACTCAAAAGATCTCTACCCGAAACATCTCTAATGGGATCGACTTTGGCATGTATCGAATTTTTGTCCCAGATTGTACGACAAATCGCGATTTTAACCCTTGGACCCCCTACAGGTCACAATTTATATCCGATTTTATATCCCTAAGATGGGTTCGATTTTGGCACATTTCCTGATTGCACGGAAAAATCGTAAATTTTACTCCTGGTCCCGTTACAGGTAACAATTTGCATTCGTTTTTGAAAGCCGTTCAAATATACTCTTCCAAAAAAGTAGGGAATATTGAAATGCAACTACCTATGCAGGTTGTGATATGATAAATAGTCATGGACACTTGACAGAGAACCACTGAGCTGCACATGCGACACGCAATAGCACCATACACGTGGGAGGGGTTCATTGTCAAATTTGACACTTCAAGGAAGGGTTGATGAAAACTGCCGCGTACTGGTTTATCTATCCCTGTTTGCTTTCCTATCGGTTCTTGCATAAGATTTACTGTTTAGCGTATCTTATCTTTAGTGTGTGTTACGTTTAATTTGATCGGGAGACGTCTTCGTCGACGTCAACGTCAACCGACAACACTGCAAGAATTGGCCGTGGCACTGCAAGAGGAGTGGGTCAGATTACCCCAAATCGTGATTGGACGGTTGATTAGGAGCATACCACGACGAATTGCTGAATGTCTGAGGATTGGTGGAGCAATTACTCATTATTAAGACAAAAATCAAAAACGCCCATTTTCACTTTTGACGGTGTATCTCTTTGCGAGTGAAATGGGGCCGTCAGATAAGCCGCCCATACGAACTGTTTATGTTAAGGTGTAGGCAATTGGCCTGTTATTAACATACACTGGTTACCTCTAATAAAAACAGCAGTGCATTTCCGCGGTTTTGTATTGTTTCTAAATATCCCCTACTTTTTTTTGAAGAGTATATAATGTATTATGTTCGTTTCTTGCAAATCGGACCGAAACTTCCCTTTTAAAATGTACCCCACCCCTTAACTCAAATAGTGGCAAAACATGCACATGTAATGCATATACCAAGGTCGGGGGCACAAATTTTGTCCGATTCAGATGAAACTTAAAATGTGGTATGTATGTTTGTTAGACAATAATCACGGATGAGGTCGAGTTTAATGGAAATTGGACCGAAATTTCTCTTTCAAAATCCCCCCTCCCCTGACGCTTTACGCATGTAATATATATACCAAGGTTTAATATAGGTACTCTGCAGTAAATAAAGCAGTTATGTAAAGTGTTGAAATTTAAAACCCTGAACTATTGTCATGTAGTATCATGCTCTTGTAAAATGATATGGCTTTATAATTGCTATCTTGTTGTCAAATGACCTCGAACAGTCGCCGTGTAATCAGTTGATCATGCTACCCAATTACACATCTCTTTCAGGGATTAAAATGCTATTGTAGCGACATTGGCAAAACATAGCAAATTGTATCTTCAAACACAAGACCTCTGACATTGCCCCCCCTTTTTTTTAAATGGGCGTGTTATGGGCGCCATCACCCACGACAATAGTATTCACGAACAACAATTTTTGTTTAAAAACAGAAATGTAATTAATTATGGGAAGCTACATTATAATTTTCTTTCGTTCTTGTGCTATTCTATAAGTTTTATTATTTCTTATTTTGTTAACATTTATAAATTATCTACACACATCATTTCAATCTCATGTTACATTTTGATAGGGGCTGAGTTGTTGGTAAGTGTTGGGTTGTTGATCAATCGTTTGTTTATCCAGTACCTCATATGTTGGGGGGTTGGGTGGCCGAATGGTAAGCACGTGCGTGCGCTGTATCATAAGGCCTGTCATTGAGTCAACTGGCGTGGTTTCGAATCCCCGGTTGTACGTGACAAGGAGTAGGATTGCCTGTCCAACCTCGTGGGTTTTCTCCGGGTCCTCCGGTTTCCTCCCACTGCTAAAGACCCCTAGGCGCAAGCGAATTATTGAAATAAAATTAAACCATATGTTAGTCCCGAAATGACCTAGTCTGTGTCGAGTGGACGTTAAACCCCATTTCTCTCTCTCTCTCTCTACCTCATATGTTGATCTGGATGGTGTATCGAGTTGTTGGTAAGAGTTGGGTTGTTGATCTACAGTTTGGTTATCCAGTACTTCATACGGTGATGATGCTGTCTCTGTGTTGATATAAGCAGGATCAGGAGGATCTGTAGTATTTACAGCATCAGTACCAACTCTTTCATATATAGGTGGGGTTTCAGACAAGGTAATGTTATCTAACCCTGTATGTTGGCTGTTTGTATAATTAATTCCAGTTTCATTATTTACTGAAAAACACAACGGATCAAACTATGGTTAGTTGTTTCCACAGGCGCAGTGTTATGCACCTAAACAACGACAAAAACTATGATATAAGCTTGGTTGTTATCATATTTTACAGTCTTCATTAGCCCAGTCGGAGCAGAACAGCAGGGCGTTAAACCCCATTTCATTTCATTTATAATATTTCATATTATTTAACAGATATATTTTTTTACTATTTAATTGGGTTTTGCCATTAAACATTATTACCTGTTACTCTTTTAATGCAAACCCTTCTTCCACTTCTCTTTAATATGAACCACAACAATACTGCGATAATAACAAAAATCAAGAGGCTAATACCCATGCCTATAGCTATGCCAACAGCTCGTTCTGTAGAAGCTTCATATTTATTACCAAGTTGGTCTGTATGTTCATCATTGGACAGTACAACTAAATTGAAAACAACAGATCTTGTACCGAGACTATTATTAACATAAACTATATATTTTCTACCATCATCTTCCGTAATATATTGTATAGTTAATGTTGATGATAGACCATCATCTGCTTGTTGACTTCTGAAATCTATAACCAGTCTTTCACTGCCATCTTGTTGGTAATACCAGGTAAATGCAGGTAGTGGATAAGCTAAAACATGGATTGACAATACACCTGTTTCTCCACGTGATATAGATATACTGGTCTTGGTATCTTTGTTTGGATCAAGAACAGGAATGCCTAAAACAAGAGCATGCTAATAAGATTTTAATGTTAATGACAAGCACGGGAATGCCTAAAATACAAGCTAGTAATAAGCTAAATACTATCCAATACAATGTAAATGACTAGACGACCATGGGTAATGATACTTAGTCCTTCAAAAGCACACGCGTGTATATCATTTTGTGGTATGATGATACAGTCTTATAGTTCAATACAGAAATGTAAAACAGGGAATATTAAGTGCATGTTCTGTTTAGATACATTATGTAAGATTCCGATGGTTCTTGTTATAATAGTTCAAAAATAGATAATGAAAAATGAATATATTGCAAATTTCATACAAATTACTCTATTCCAAGCACAGATCAGCCGATGCATTAGAAAAGCCATGACAGCTTGACATTGAGAAAGATCAGATGGCAAATACTTGCAAACTTTTCTCCCATTAGCATTTCATACATGGCCATTAAAAACAATAAAGGTATACGTACATCTAACGTACAGCGGAATGGTTCTAGATACAGGTTGACCAATATCATTACTAGCTGTAATTTTAAATCGACCACTCAATAAAAGTTTAACGGAATCCATCTAAACGCAAACCCGATCTGTAACAATGCTTTAGGTGCACTGGCCCGATGAATGTTAGGAGAGTGGGGGGGGGGGGGTGGAGAGGGGAAGAAAACAAATGCCCGAAAAATTCCCGTTTGCGCACTGACGCATTTATGATGCCCGAAAAACACTGTTTATATAACCTGTTTATTACAGTGATTTTACCCCTATGAACAATGCTATATATAGGTGTGTAACTAATTTCAATCAAATATCTCAAAGCTATATAAATAAATTAAAACAAATACGGAAAACAAATGCCAGACGGGTGGAGAGAAAACCTATAGTCAAGGGTAGAGGACTAATATTATAACAGAAAAGGATTGTCAGAGCATCTTATACGACCTCCAGAAGGTAAAGTCATCTTGATTATAGAACCAAGCTTAAAAATCCCATCTGGCCTGTACCAACTAAAGCAATGTCAGTTGCATTTAAACATACATTATTTAAGAGCTAAATCTGCCTATTGCAGGTCTTACTTTAGGCCTGAAATGTTATTAATTAGACATTAATTAACATATCCAGACCATAATCAACTCTCGATGGCATCGCTAGCCTGCGATGTTTATTGGATTAGGTTCCGATTTGCTGTTCGACTAACATTCATAATTAAATCATGAAATGAATAATCGAGACTATGTTTTTTATCCTACCGACTTTAGTAAGGCCAGAAATTCAATGCTAAAATCTCGGTTCATAGTGAATCAATTCGACTGAAATTTTCTGCAAATTCCCTTTACAGTATCTAGTTTTTAACTATTATAGTGAGACCTGTCAGCTCTTTATCTAATCTCCTATAATGTATCTTTAAGTATTCGGACATCACACCAAATACTGATAATTGTCTTCTTAAACATAAGCATGTAAGCTATAACTGGTAGAACAACAAACCATTACTTACAATAAACTGTTATCTGTAGTGAATAGCTTATAACTAATACTTACAATGAACAGTCTTTTATCTGTGATACAATAAACTGTTGCCTTTTATACTTACAATAAACTGTTATCTGTAATATTTTAGACAGTGTGTTGTTGGTGATATTTTTATGTTGAGTCTGACAGGTGTAATTACCAGCTTGTTGTCTCTGAATATTGTTCAGTGAGAGATGGTCAGTAGATGATATTTTAGCAGATCCTGTATACCAGCTAATATTGCAAGGTGGATTACAGTCAGCTAAACAGGTGACAGATCTACTTTCATTTTCTATCACTGTTATACTAGAATTGGTTGGTGTAAATCTGATACTCTCAGGCCCATCTTAAAAAAAAACATAAGGTCGTTACACTTATTTCATTTCAAGTTAACATAATTAAAGATACATTATGTAAGATTTGATAAAGAGCTAGACTTCTTGCTATAGTAGTTCGAAAATAGATAATGTAATATGAATAATTTGAAAATGTTATTCAAATTACTCTATTGCACAAGATATGTGCATCAATTGCAACCACCGTACTGGTTGTTCGAAGCTAAGTCTCCCCCCTCTATTTTATAAATTAAATCAAAATATGGCTGAACCGTTCTAATCTACTTAATATCGGAGATATCCGATGGCGTCGAGAGTTGATTGTGGTCTTGTCGTGTTAAAAAATGTATAATTAATAGTTTATTTAACATTTCAGGCCTAAAGAAAGACCTGCAATAGGCAGATTTTGCGCTTAAGTAATGTATGTTTAATAGGGAAGTTCATTCAAATAATCAAATTCAGCCTCCTACTTAGTGACACTGCCATTACAAAGATTTATCATAAAAATAAACCAACTTACAATATACAAGAAGGGCGAAGGGTTGGCTGCTTTCACTAATTTGTAAATCTCTACAGGTCCAGTCTCCACCATCACTTGATTGGAGATTAGTTATGTTAAGATACAATGAACTAGTGTTACCATTGATACAACCACATGTATATCTGGTACTGGTTGATGATGAGTCACATCTACCACCAAGTAGTAATAATGAACATATTTCTGAACCATCTCTATTAAACTCTAGACCTGATGGTATATGTAAATCTATAATCTGCTCCTCTAACACCATACGATGCCAATCCTGATATACTGTACGTCTGACCTGTAAACCAAGCAGAGTAGAATGCACAAAATGAGTTCTGGTGTACTTCAAAATCCAAGAAAATCGACAATTTGGAATTAAAAACAGAGTTTGACATTGTATTCAAGTAATGCTAAGAGTATCAAACCGTAACTGACACTTGGCTTGGAATTTCTCGGAATTTATCCCGAAAATGTACACAATGAATAACATTTTGTCATATTCCACAAGTCGAACTGTAGGCCATCTTCATTAGCCCGATGGAAGCAGAAAATTAGGACGCTAAACCCTATTTCATTTAATTCCAACTATGATTTACATATTTTAGGTCCTCCCAGAAAAGATGTTAATGGAATATGCGAAATATTCGAGGTTGGGGCTGCACTACAACAATATTTAAATAATATTTGTCGCCCATTAACTTCCCCGAAATTCATTGCACATTACCATATATAAACACATTCCATAAATGTTATCAAAGTCTCCTTATTGTTATTACAATGTACTAGATTTCCCAAAGAGTAAGGCTGTTATGAAAGATTGCTTTCAATGTAGATTAATGAGGAATAAGCTATTCCCAGTCCTACTGTAAATACCTCACTTTATAATTGTGATATTTGTTGGAGCTATTTATCGTTTGGGATGAAGAATGTATGTTAGTTAGTCTTAACGAAAAAATTGACAGGGCACTAAATCACTGGATATTTCATAATGTACAATAAGAAAAGACAATATACTTCAAAATAGGGGAGATTCCCGTACACGTGTGACACTATCCTATGTCTCGGTTAGACTTTTACGTTGTGTACTTTTTATACGTCCACATTCATAATGTGGACGTATATTGCCGTCGCCCCTGTCTGTGTGTGTGTGTGTGTGTGTATGGGTGTATGTGGGGGTGGGGGTGTGTGTGTCTGTGTGTCGCCTACAGGCCACAATTCTTAAGTGATCATCTTCAAACTTTACATACTTATTCCTTATACCCTAAGGATGATCCTTATTGTTTTTGGTGCATGCCCGACCCCCAGGGGCAGAGCCACGCCCATTTTTTTGTATTTGTTTGTTTTTCGTCTACAGGCCACATTTCTTAACGTATCATCTTGAAACTATGCATACTTATTCTTTGTACCCTAAGGAACATCCCTATCGTTTGGGGTACATGCCCGACCGCAAGGGGCAGAGCCACGCCCATTTTCTTTTCTTTGTATGTCTGTGTGCCGCCTATAGGCCACAATTCTTAATCAATCGTCTTGAAATTTTTTCATATGAATTGCTTATACCCTAAATATGATCCCTTTTGTTTTTGGTGCATGCCCGACCCCCAGGGGCAGAGCCACGCCCATTCCTTATATTTATTTATTTGTTTGTCATCTACAGACCGCATTTCTTAACGTATCATCTTGAAACTATGCATACTTATTCTTTGTACCCCAAGGAACATCCCTATCGTTTGGGGTGCATGCCCGACCCCAGGGGCAGAGCCACGCCCATTTTCTTTTCTTTTTATGTCTGTGTGTCGCCTATAGGCCACAATTCTTAATCAATCGTCTTGAAAAATTTTCATATGAATTGCTTATACCCTAAGGATGATCCCTATTGTTTTTTTACCCCCAGGGGCAGAGCCACGCCCATTTTCTTTTCTTTTTATGTCTGTGTGTCTCCTACAGGCCACGATTCTTAATCAATCGTCTTGAAAAAATTTCATATGAATTGCTTATACCCTAACGATGATCCCTATTGTTTTTGGTGCATGCCCGACCGCCAGGGGCAGAGCCACGCCCATCCCTTATATTTATTTATTTGTTTGTCATCTACAGATCGCATTTCTTATCGTATCACCTTGAAACCTAGCATACATATTCCTTCTATCCTAAGGAACATCCCTATTATTTGTGGTGAATACCCAACCCCCAGGGGCAGAGCTACGCCCATTTTTTTTTATGTCTGTGTGTCACTTGCAGACCGCATTTCTTAATCGATCATCTTGAAAACTTTTTTATACTTATTCCTTATAGCCTAAGGCTACTTTTTATACTTATTCCTTAATTCTATGGCCGACCTCTATTATTATTTTCGGTGCATGCTCGACCCCTTGGGACAGAGCCACGCCTAATGTTTGTGTGTCTTGTGTTTTGCCTACAGACCGCAATTCTTAACAGATCCTTTCGAAACTTTGCATACCTATTCGAAACGTCATGCTTTTAGAATAAAGACATCGATTGTTTTAAAATAAAAATTGTGTTCTGTTAATGTGAACGAAGTGTTAAACTGA